GGTGACCCGTAATGATGCCATTCGTTCGATTGGCGTTTCATTTGTGGCTCATACAATTTGGCCCATGTCTCATCCAGCTTAATGATACGGCGTAAGAAAGCCTCTCCTTCACACTCATAGCGCTCCAAGTGGTTATGAGCGTCGTCGTATCGTAGCCATTTCTGCATTTCCGTCAAATCATGCGGAACTCATCGTGATGCAGTTTTTCTCATGCCCAGGTGTTCCTTCAGAATCTGAAGCACAGTCATATGCGCTAATCCTGTCTCTCGGGCCAGCCCACGAATTGTATGGCGTCGATCACTCTCCAAGTAACGCGGAATGAGCATACACTTCTTCACTGACACTAGGACGACCTGGCCGACGCATGTCTGCCACATTTTGGCGTCCCTCGTTGAAAGCTTTTACCCACCTTGCCACTGTTCTGTAAGGCAATGCAGATTCCCCGCAAGCCTCTTGAAGACCTTGATGACACTGTCATGCTGTACAGCTTCTGACACATTCAATCTTTATCCAAATCCGTTATTCATGTTTCGAAAACATCGTGACAACACTACATTAGACCGCCAGCTAACACGAGGCTCTGTTCTTCTCGTCACTGCGCATTCGCGTGAAGTGGGAAGGGAGAGTCCATTTGTTCTGAGGTAAGGTAAGTATGTAACTAATGTGTAGTATAAGCAACATTATTTGGTTCCGTTGCATGGCGTCTCTACAGCAGTGTTGCCGCTATTAAAGTTCCAGCCCTCGTATATTAACCTTATGAGCTGCAATAATGTAGGCACTAAAGGACATGGATATGAGTTGAATGGGTGAGTTTGATTCTTGGGAAAGATGAGACTTTCTCTTCACCACCCATATCCAGATTTGCTCTGGGGCCCAGCCATCTCCAGTTCATAAAGTACTTGAGAACTCTTTCCCTAAGGCTTGACTGGTTTATGAAGGTACAGTCAACTCAACTGCAATGGCAATTCCCAGACATCACTGCAACAATAACCTTTTGGAACATTATGCTAAGGCACACATCTTTACCTGTTATCTGGAATGTATGGGGACTGGGGTTCACAAGTTACATGAATCTGCTAGATGCATGTGAAAAACATTTTACAGAAAATCCGAGCAAAGTCAAATTAATTCTTGCATGAGTGTCTTCCTAGGCTAATGATACATAAAAAAACTTCAGATGCATATGCTGTAATACAATTACAAATTCAACTAGTCTCTACTAGAATAGCAGCTGCATGAAAGAGGATGGTGGGAAAACATATGCACATTGAAAATTTGTTTTTGAATAACTTCATATGGGCAGTAATTTTCTTTAAAATGTTTGCCTGGTGGATGAGAATTCCAGGTGCTTGGATACCAGAAATTTACTGTAATTTAATATTAAGGTAAAATGGAAGGAAAAGGTCGAAGTTCCTTAATTTATGAATAATGACACTTTCTTTAATTTAATCATCTCCTAATTTCATTATGATCCTCAGCTTTCTATGTATCTGCACTTCCCAGATAATATGAACTTCAACTTACCATCAAAATCATTGATTAAAAATATCAGACTGAAAACTTGCAGTCAAGTAGTTCTGAAAGTCACTTGTCTTATTCATTAAAATATTACTCTTTGAGTAACAGCACACATTTGTCTGGCTGCTGTTCTCCAAATGTTTATATATTAGTTTTATTTGGCAATATTCTCTATTAAAAATAAATTTTATAATGCTGACATACTTATGAAATCAGGAAAATGATTTCATTTATTTAAGTATATATTTTTTGGAGAAATATTCACTGTTGTTTGGGATTTTCTCCTGGTACAAGGTTATAAATTAATTACTATCTGTAACCTCAACAACAAACCTGTTCCAGCAATCTTTGCCTCTGCGACACAAGGAAGTTCATCTGGTCAATGTGCCTTCAGCTGTACGGTACTTTTATGACTTAATTAGTTCCCTTATGAGTGAGAAGATTCGGAGCAGAATCAAGGTATGTATATGAGAAGCAGTGAATCAAATTCTGTTTCCTACTTACTGCAAGTTTGTCAGTATACTTCATGAAGTTAATGTTTTGCTTCTAGAAAATAATTAGCAGCAAAGAACAATTATTAAAAATAATTTAAAATATATGCTTAACTCCTCATTTTATGAAAGGATGGCACTACTAGAAAGTCATTCAATAAGCAAAAATTAAATGTTTGAAAATGAACTTCCAATTATCACAATGAGTACTGCTGAGGGATATCCACCCATTTGAGTGCCACTGGCTTTCTTCAAGACATGAAGTCATCAGATGAAAGCTGAAATAATTTCCTTAAAAGAAGACAGCTGTCATATACTTACACATCAGTATTGTTGTAATTTTGGGGTATTTACTTCAAAATTTTGAAATAATGTTAGTTAGCAGACAAAATCAGACAGTATTCTTATCATTAATGGAAAAACAAAAAAGGTAAAGCAATCCTTGTAAGAGGCCATCGAGACCCATAGGGTCATGAGACGTTGAGACTCCCACATTTTCTAGACAGTCAGCTTGCAGATGGTGGTGAGGTTGTCAGCCTTATGCATATGTAAACATATTTATTTATTATGATAATGGTGAGGGGGGCATGCGATAGCATAGTTGGTTGTGGCACTATGCTACAAGCCAGAAGGTCGCTGGTTCAAGTCCCAATGAGGTCATTGGATTTTTTTCAGTTGACTTAATCCTTCCAGCCACACTGTGGCCCTGGGGTCAACTAAGCCTCCAACAGAAATGAATTAGATAATTTTCCTGGGGAGTAAAGCGCGGCCAGCACGTAAGGCTGACAACCTTACCACTATCTTTGAGCCGATTGTCTAGATAATGTGGGACCCTCAACATCTCACAACCCTGTGGGCCTTCACGGTCTGTTACAGGGGTGGCTTTACTTTTTTTTTATGATAATGGTGAACACTGCAAAGTCATGATAGAGGACAAGATTTTTTTTATAAGACCCACAAATATGACTACCTCAATGCGTACAGTGTGCAGCAAGTAACACAGTACAAGGATGGTGACTGCTGGTGCAAAGAAGGGTGGGGTGGATGGTGGGCGAAGCTGGAAACATAAACATGACTTGGCACATTTTAATTTTATGTACGCTGAAGAACAAGTATGATTTTATCAGCTCCATTAATGTTAAAAGACATTAATCAAATGCTGATGAAATGAATGGTTAGTGTAATTTTGATGATTTTTATTTCATATTCACTTGAACTAGCAAATTAATGCAAATATTGGTGAATTTAAATTTAAATCTGTTTTCAAGAATTAAAATCATTCATGGTATAAAACAACTTTAATTGATTTAGGGATACCTCAGTATGTCTTTTCACGTTTATTTCACAAACTCCACAACGAGAACACAAAATGAGGTCATATCCATCTGCACGTTTCATTTACCAAACTACTTGAAATCTCAACTTAATTTTGTATTTGGGTTCTACACTAAAAGTTAACACGTGAATTTTATTCTGGTTTTTAGTATTTGATTACAGATATTAACCTTCATGAAAGATCTCAGAATGAGCTCTATGCATAAGATTGATATGATCATAAAATGTGGACCTCAATAAGGCCCTTAACATTTTTGACACATCATTTGATATTATGTACTTCAATGATCTACAAGAATCCTAATTATCTCCTTGATGAAGCATAATATCATTGCTGTTGAATAACTCTGTCAAGAACAAAACCTGCTACATTATTGAGAGTACTATTTGTATGGTAAATATTTATCCTGTATGCAATAAATTAGCATGAAGATAAGTGGTATGGAAAATGTGTACAGTATGCCCTAAATTGAAAATCAATATTCTACTCTTGGTTTTAAATATGTCACCTTAAAAATGTCTACAAAAATACATTGAAGATATTTAACTTTGTACTACCTATTACTGTTTAAACAGTTTAAATTATTTTATGCAATATAATAATAGTTTGGTATTTAATTTTCAGATTCATGAATGTATGGAGAGTTTATGGAAGAGGGTGGATCCAAAAGTCCTTCCAAAAGAGCTTGGTGGGAGTATGCCAATGGTTGAGATGATAGGCAAGTGATTCTCTGATACCAGTGTAATTTATTACCTAAGGTACATAAGTAATTAACCCTTCGTGTTATGAAACCTCAAGGTCACTGTCACAACAGCAGCCTCCTCCTAGATCCTATCCTAAACCAATTCAAATTGTCTTAATTTCAATTTATATTCCTGTGACCATCTCTAAGCCCATCTGTAGTAGTTCCTCTCAAAAAGATCTTGCAGTACATTTCACAGTACCCTTCTACATCATCATCATCATCATCAGCAGCAGCATCATCATCATCATTATCATTATCATCATCAGTAATCTGTCAGACGACAGGTCCACAGTCTCTTCCAAAACAATTCCTCCACTTATTGAGATCTAGAGCTTTCTCCTTCAAATGACAGTATCCTCTTCTGTCCCCAAGCTCATCCAGCATCTTCTTACATCTTCTTCATCTTCTTGTCACTTCTATCCACCCCTCTATCTTTCCTTCAATAACTGCTTTTAGAAGGCAGTTACTGCGTAAGATATGATCAATCCAATTAGCCTTCCGTTTTCTTATTTCATGTAGGATATTCCTCTGCTCNAGCATTTCACTAGTTTCTTCCTCAAATTTAAGTCCAATTTGCTGGTAAAAAGATTCTTCTTCTTGCTAAATGCAGCTTTCGCCATGGCAATCCTGGATTTAATTTCACTAGTACACCTTCCATCATCTGTTAACAAGCTATCCAAATATTTAAAACATTTCACATTCTCCAGTTGTTTTTGTCTATCTTTATTGTTACTGGGGTTGACTGTCTTGAAATTTTCATTACTTTTGTTTTTTCCACATTCATTTCCATGCCATAGCACCTTCCAATTTCAATTAGTCTATCAATCATGCCCTGTAGCACAGTTTCTTCCTTAGCCATTAACACAAGGTCATATGCATATTTCACAGTTTGAATAATTTGCCCTCCTAATTTGAAGTCTCCGAGCCCATCCAGAGCTTCCTTGGTAAGGCATTCGCTGTACAAATTGAACCCTTCTACATATACAAGAAAATTTTGTATGTATGAGATTTATTACTGTCAATATTCATTTTCAGGTTACCATACCAATGAACTGTCAAGTGTGTACATATTACATGAATGTAAGTCATGTAGTCGGAGAAGTTCATGGAGGTAGGCCTAGGCCCACTTGGCCTGTTGTGCCAAGGAAAAAAATAAAAGTTATGTAGTAGGTAATGAGAGATCAAGTTAAATGTTGGCCTTGTTACATCACTGGTAACATGTAAGACTGTAAAGGAATCTGGGGGAAAGCAAGGGAAGTTAATGATATGAAGGTAATATAACAGATGATCAGACTTCCCACTGAATTCTTAATGGGTGTTACAGTAGTAATACAGCGCTCAAGCTGGATTAAATTTATGAACATTAAGAGATATTGGGGGCGGCGCACATGGTAGTGTAGTTGGTTGGGGCACTATGCTACAAGCCGGAAGGTCACGGGATCGAATCCCGATGCGGTCATTGAATTTTTTCAGTTGACTAAATCCTTCCAGCCACACTATGGCCCTGGGGTCGACTCAGCCTCTAACAGAAATGAGTACCAGGAATATTCTTGGGGGTAAAGGGCGGCCAGCGTGCAAGGTTGACAACCTTACCGCCATCTATGAGCTGATTGTCTAGAAAATGTGGGAACCTCAACATCTCACAACCCTGTGGGCCTCCACAGCCTATTACAGGGATACCTTTACTTTTTTACTTTAAGTGATATTGGGCAGCATTTACAGTTTCATCATAAACTTACTTCTAGTTAACATTTTGACTCTATGAATTTTCATTCCACATATAAAACATTAAATATTGTCATCAGATGAACTGACTATCCAACTAATTAACCAACCAGCTCTGTGGACAACTTTATGATGTACAGAACTGATATATGCCATCATATGTTAGTGACTTTGACACGGGGCTTGGCACAATGTATATAAAATCTGCTATGCAGACGATGCAGCATTAATTACAAATAATGATGAGAGCCTGTAAGGATTTGAGTGAGCTCATGTATATGGAAAAATATGCACTTACATGAAGAACCAAAAGTAAAAATACATACATGTTATCAGGCCTATTCTAACCTATGTTACAAAAACAAGAGCAGACATGACAGAAAAGAAAAAAAGTATTGGAAACTACTAAAATTAATATATTCATAAAGATAATAGGGAAATTGAGCATTGACTATATGAGAAGCCAAGTCATCAGGCATCAATGTGGTATCCGAGAACTAGAAGAATGGGTAAATACACAAAGGACGGAATGGAGCAACTATCTGTCACTTGATCAGATTGTATGATTAGCATGAGACACCTCTTCTAAAAAAGAAGTCCTGGAAGACTGCACAAAAGATGGAAAGTTCAAACTCTGGAGAAAACAGGCTCATGGCCTAATACAGAAGAAGATATTAATCAGCTACATAAATATTCAGTAGTTCACTAAAGTAATTTTGTCACCTCCTGCTATTGGAATCTGCAAGTAACATATCATTTTTATCCTTAAGTTTTGAATTGTTTATTTAATGATGCTGTCAGTATTGAGATTATATAACGTAACATGTAGTACTGTTATGCAGCGATTACGAGAAGGATCACGTATTGTTTGGTAATAGCCCGTAAACACGTCAACTATATCAGAGATATTGCTAGGAAACTGCCCATAACAACACTAGAGGGATTGTTGGTGGCATTGTTTTCTGTTGGGTCCACCCTGTGTATGTGGATTACAACCATATTTAAAATGTTTAAGGGAATCTTTAAACTTATTTCAACCTTTCAATATTAAAATGCTTTTCTTACACAAATTTGTTTCCAGATCTCTGGAAGAAGGAGATATCTGCTAAGAGAGAACGCATCCTTCATCTAGATAACATGAAATTATTAAGCACCAAGTCCATCATCACCCGCAGAAACAACCAACAAAATGAAAATTCATCACTCATGATCAACAACCTCCAAGGAAGTTTCAGAAAACTTGAAGTAGACTGAAGGCATACACATTATTATGAGACACAATAATGTTAAAATTGTTACCTTGTCAAATTCTGTCCAAATGTGGGTAATTTGACCTAGTAAAGATATTTCTTTTTTGTATTATTTTAACACTTCCAATTTAAAAATTTATCATATTTATTGGTCTGATACCACATTAAATGGGTTCTAAATTATGGTTATTTTATTTAATTGTTAAGTATAATATATTTGCAAGGAATAAAAGTATATTACTGTACATGTGTAAGGCTTCCTATTCAAACCTTTCTCAATTTCTACCATTTTGCAGCTCTTTATTGTCTCAGAATCTTCACACGTTAAATATTGTCGAGTGTTGGGTGTATGTCATGCGACAAATAACTTTACACCGTATTGAATGTAGCAAATTTATTCCACACTCGCTCTTACACTTATACAGTTCACAATTACACAACTACTGCCATCTGCATTTTCACAGTTACTGCCATGCACTTGATACAACCCGACTCGGTGACTGCTAGACTGAAACTGACTGGTTACTCCCTCTCACTGACAAATGCTCCTGTTATGTAGCTTCCGCACGGACAACACACAAAACAGTTACGCGATAGCTTTCACTGTTGCGTGACATTGTGTTTACTGATTGCCTAGCAAGAGTCGCTGCACGGGCTCCCCTGTTGCGTGACACTGTGTTTACAAAGGTATTGCTGGGCAATGCTGCATAGCAACGAGCATGCTTCAGCTCAGCTCGGACAAACGCCGCTTTCCTTACTGTTGCGTAACTTGGCAACTGACCGTTTATCAAGGGTCTGTCTTTGTGGTAACTCATTCCACCTCCTGTTGCCCAGCAACGGTTAGACATGTCACAACATTCTAACCAGAAACAATGCTTTCATACACCACATGGACTGAAGGTAAGAAATTAATATCTATGCTTTTGGTACCCAGCATTTGTTACGAGGTATCATCTACAACAATACTACAGTTTATTCATAGCTATAAACAGAGAGAAATATTGACTTAATTAGAAGACTGCTTTTCCCCCTTGGCACTACAGCCCCAGTGGGCCCGACTCCTTGGGCGGGTGATCAGCTCGTCGCAAGGCCTCTACCTGTATACAAACACAGAAAAACGCACACACACAAACTAAACATCCATGCCCTGAGTGGGATTCGAACCCACGATCCTGGTTTCCAAGTGAGTGAAGACAGTACATGCCTTAGACCGCTTGGCTACCGGGACCGGCAGAAGACTGCTTAATTAGTCCAAAACGTGAAAAGAAAGTTCCAAATTTTTCTACCAGTCATTAAATGTGTCTTCTCAGTGATACTGATTGCTTATCTGGTGCATAACAGATGAGAAATGCTGGAAAAATGAATAGCACAACTTTATTGGATCTGAGATTCTCACAGCAGTGAACATGAAGAGTTATATCTTCTGTGATATATGCCACACAGTCCAATGAGAGTCATCCAACATTTTGGAGTAACATATTGCATCCATTTGCAGGGTCTAAGAGTAAGCCAAACAAGAAACCAACAAGAAGCAGGCAATTTACTCTTCATCCCTGAAGTTGAAGGTGATATGTTCTTTCAAAATATTGTAATGGACCCACTGCTTGATTGAAGGCTTAGAGAGAGGGGACTCTTCCATTAGCTAACAGACTCTCTGTATCAGGTGATGGCCAGTTAGGCCAAAACATGTATTGTTTTGTAACAAGACACTGAAATGTGAATATTAATATATCAACGAAGTTGCACAAAGATGGCAATGAGTAAGAACATAAAGTTAGAATACACAGTACACCAAGATACTGTAGTATAATATTATTTCTTTATGTTGCCTTGTCAGCCACTGTGAAAATGCTAACGAGGCACAGCAACAGCACCTCGACTGTTATGATTGGCAAGAGAATTGTGTTTCTATAGTCTAGTAAATGAGCACTTCTGTGATGTTTTCATGATTTTAAGATTCTGAAGTTTATGATAATAATAATCTTACATATAACTCCATAAATATTACTTCTTCGCAAAATATTCTTCTTATATTTCTTTTGTCATGCTGAAAGTCTCTCAGGACAGTTACAAAGAGAGAGAAAGTGAATAACAGGTAAGTACAGTACAGCACTTTAGCATAGCATGTCCCTTCTTCACCATTCAGGCTCTCAAAGACAGTAAATGTAATTCAAGAACTAGCCACTGCTTTAGGGAAGAAATATGCAACAGTGTGTTTGCTTTTGTGTATGGCTCCTTTGTTTCATGTATGTATGTTACATTTACTTTGACTTTTCAATCTCATTCTTTGAAATAAGAAATGGGATCCCAGTACCTGATTGTAAGTAAGGGTATGTTTAATGTAGGATCAGTTTCAGGACACATGAAAGGGAATTACATATAAATTATATCATAAACATTCACAGGAAAAGTTTCTAGTATATTTCATTCATATAACCACTGAATTTCTCCCACACATAAGCAATATAATATTATGTTGTAAACTGTCAAGCAAATCAGTACCTTGCACTCATTTTAAAAAGAATTTTCTCCAGTACTTTGACTAGTATATATACTTTCATAGATAATGGCAAATTTGAAGATGATTAATCTAAATGAGTGAAGTATTATGCACATACATGTCAATGCAGCATAATAAGACTTCTAAATTGTAACTAACCGATGCTACAACAACACAATTATGCAGTAATCTACTGATTAATATCTGGTCCTAAATCTCTTTAAACCATGAGAATATAAATTCAAGGAACATTTCAGTATCTTTAATTTTCAAATCATGGGTAGCAGGTATGTCATTAGAATGTATGAGCATTTCTGCATACCCCACAACCTAGTGCAAATTCCTCTCCAGTTGGAGGATGCTTCACATGCAGTGGGCACTCTTCTCCTTCCAGCTGTTTAGCTTTTGGACCTGCAATATAAGCAAAACCCACTCCAAATATTGCAACATACTTATTCCTGCATTTATCCACTAATCTGTTTCTTCCAAAGGTGAAGGAGGAAAAAGAAAAACATAGAGAGAAAGGAGCAGAAAACGCTTAAGTGTCTACTATTCACTTGGTCATGCGATGGTTCTTTGTGATTAATTTGAATTATATTTAAAAATAAACAATGTGACAAAGTACAAAACAAAAACTAAAATCTAAGCCTATGAGGGTGATTGTGAACTAGAGTTCTTGTCAGTTAAATTTTCCAAACCCGGCAATATTATCAACCATCCTAGATTATGCCACAATTCTATCAAGCCTGGAATGCAAAACTGTCATCCAAGACTGATAGACATGGACTTATAAAGAACATAAATATATTTCCTTATAGCACTACAAACTCTTTTACATAAGAGACCATCTTAACCTGCTTACCTTACTGCTTCATTCTTTTGGTTGCTTACCAAACACCGTTGCATGTCAGTATATTGTTACCTGAATATTGTAATATGATGAGTAAATATGAAAAGAACACAAGAAACGTATAAAGGTCTTATCTGAAAACAGCAACTTTCACTTTTATTTATCTATTTTATGGTTTTCTTGGCACTGCTGTCAGGCCAGACTATACATCATGAAATGGTAGGATGACTAGTAAATAATGACTTGGCAAGGCTGTGGAAGGAAGTGGCCATATTCTAATTTGAGTTGTGATCCTGGCATTAGCTTCGAGGTGATGAGTAAAACCATGAAAAATACCAGGATAGGTTGTGTTCCAGTGAAGATTTGGAATGGACACCTCTTAAATACATGTCAGAAGCACTACCAGTTGTGCCATATCCTCAGGATCTCAATCAGTATCTTCCTCCTCCATAAATACATGTAAAATTTGCAAACAAAGTAAACAATTTTGATAGTAGCCCAAGCAATGTTCCAATGTATTGGATATGCAGTGTGGGTAGGGAAGAAAACATACTAATTTCTGACATTGGGACTTCTCTGAAAGTAACCATTCAGAATTCAGAAATAGAACAGTATTGTTAAAAAAGATGTTAGTCATGAAGTTGACAGGGTTGAAAAGATTGGGTTTTAGTAATTGCATATTCTGAGGTTCTAGCACCCACCAGAATGAGTTAAGTGAGGAGCTAGACTGCAACCTGTTTATTCAGTTCATTACTTGATATTTCATTTGTAACTTTATCAGGTAACGCAATTTACATTCTCCTCTTCAGAATCAAAACATAAACATCATGGCAAACAATTATGTTTTTTGATAAGATTTCATTCCTAATTGCAATTAGTGCAGGTTCCCAACCCTAATATACAAACCTGCTGGACATGATGGCAATTCAAGTCGTGGAATGTTGGTAACACGCTGGAAGTCATCGTGGCAAGCATTGCAGAAATGCGTGGTCCCAAAACAGAAGAACACAGCAACAGAGCAACAGTAGCGACACTTGTACTCCAAAAAGTCTGTGCCATGCTTAGGACACATCTGGGCTCTTGAAACATCACTGCATGCCCCACACACCAGCTCTGTGGGGTCATACTCCTCTCCTACTTCTGCATCACAGCGTGCCTCCCCTCCATAATAAGCCTAAAACATTGCATTTTCTTGCACCCGAGAACTCAACAGAATGCACACATGAATTACTATGTTAATACATCAAAACTTCGAAAGATCAATTTTTCCCATTGTATCAGATCTGCAGATAAATAAACAGCATATAAAATCAATGGCTGATGACCATGGATACCTAAAAATTTGGTTTATTTTAGAGGCACCCTTATGTCAATACACTGATGCCCAGTTTCATGCTAAACTGTTTCCATGTAATACTCTATATGGTTTTCATAAAACTGTAGTAAACTATCTTACTTCACTTCTATAGCTTATTAGAAACTACGAAAATCATGAATGTAACAGCAGTAAGGATCACACCTGCTGCTATGATCACAGTTATATAGACTTGCGCTTCAATACATTCTACACAGAAGATTGGATATGAATAGGTGGATTCTTCATTAATGCATAATTAAATATTCATAGCATATAAAATACACCAAGTATTTGTAGCAAGAACATGGATAAGTATGTGCCTGCACTCTTCACCGTATGTCACAAGATGACAAATCTCTGCGACTTCTCTGACATCTAGTGATAGTGAGTTCACACGTACAGTAATGAAAATAATACTTGGCACCAAGAAACTTTACTTTTTTTTATCAACTTATGACACAATTAATAAACTTTAGTGAATGTAATAGCCCGAATCTGTTTCCATCCACAGTCCATATTTGATGACTGACAGTATGTATCACTATATGCATGACAATAATTACTTATACTCTTTGCCTAGTTCTGAACATCAGCATTTACTTGACATGGCTGTAGACCAACCTGCTTACTGACATTATTCCCTGCATTGCACTCTATATTCATTTTTCATAAGTGCAAAACATACCAGCATCTCTTAAATTCAGACCAAGAAATTGCCATATCTCAAATTAACAATCAGTTTTCAACTGTAAAACAATGCAAGTTATATGCCAGTCTAGCCTGTTCTGTAAAGTCCACAGAAAGGAAACACATCTACTGTATTCTTCTGTCAGTGCTTATACAAGTCTTTGCTCCTGTAGATGATGATGACGATGATGATGATGACAACATTGTCGTCAGTGACACCAGCAGTGGTGCTTGTGGTGGTGGTGGTGGTGCCCCTCCTCCTCATAAGATTTGGGTACTATAATACCCACTTTGAAGTGACAAATGCTACTGATCCTTCCATCTTTTCCTAGGCCTTCCCAAAGTATTAAAAAAGTATTAAAAAGCATTAAAAACTTGGGCAATGATACTAAAAAGTTTAAATCAGAGTTAAAGAATTATCTACATGCTCATTCCTTCTACTCTTTAGATGAATACTTCAATGTAAATAGAGAATGATGTAAAATTAAGTTATATTAATTTTTAAGCTAAAATTGCCTGTACTTATGTATGTAACCTTTTGACTTGTTCTGTATCCAAAGGTACTAACCTGCTTAGGATTTATAGAATGTAAATAAATTCAATTCAATTCAATTCAAGGCTCCTTGTCCTAAGGGTCTACATTCCACTGCTGCTCCAGAGAGAAATCTCCTGACATCCACTGCACGTGTCCCCCCATTTCTGATAGTAATTTCCAATTTTGTGTGTCATACTTTCTTCCTGCACTGTTTAATCACCTATATTTGATGACCTGATTCCTGCGCTATTTTGTTATGTGCTTTGTCATCTACATAGCACTGAATGGTCTGATGTGTGAATAATGAATTGGAAAAGATGTAAAAGTGGTAGGGGTATATCCCAGCATTTCACTGAAGGGACTGAGAAAAACTAAGCACCTTCAGTCAGAATAGCTGGTCTCTGAGTAAAATCTGATACCACTCAAGTGGGTACTGTCCAGTCTTCATCCACTTTCATCCTACCCTGTTTTCTTTCATGTATATATGAGTAGTATTGAAAACTACATGCATACTAGGATGAGTTCATGCAAATACTTCTGTAGAATGCAATATCATCTTCATACTCTATTTCTTCAACATTCATTTAATATTATAACTTCTCAAATTTCCAAACCAAAATTGTGTACGCATTTCTCATTTCTCTCATATGTGATACATGTCCTGCCCATCCATAGTTCTTGACATGATCACCCCAATCATAAATGGTGAACAGTACAAATTACAAAGCTCAACTCTGTGTAATTTTCTCAATCTTCCTGTTCCTTCCTCTCTCTTAAGCTGAAACAGTCACCTCAAAACTTTTTCAAACATATTTCACAAAATGAGAGAAATCCTTAGGCAGCCCAAAGGAATGGCTCAGGCTCTTACCTTGTTGCACTTGTAACACACATAATAAGCATATCTGTCCATTGCATAACTGGCTGGATCATTATGAAATCTTGCACCAGGGCTTGTAATTGCTTCCACTTTGTGCAGCCCTTCATATTCAAGTCTCATCAAGGCCTTCCGCCGCACATCTTCATAAAGTTCCTTCACTGGCACTAGGAGCTCTGACAGAACTGGGTGTTCAATGTTACACTGGACACAGAAACATAATTATTCAGCATACTGTGTACATATCAAAGAGAGACATAATTATTCAGCATAGTGTGTACATATCAAACAACTTTTACTCAATGAATAAATGTCCATGTTAACAAAGCAAACATAAAAGAGCAGTCAACATTACCTTACAAATTGGGCACTGAGAAAATGCAAACGTTATCCTTGGGCCAGCCCACCTTTTCATTAGAACACAGCGGCAACAATGATAGTGAAACACATGACCACATTTTAACTGGAACATAAAATAAACAACTGCAACACATGGAATATATGCAAATGTCAACAGATCCTATATACTTGTCCTTCATATACTTGCAAGAAGAAGTGGAAGATTGTAAATCTTTAGAAAAAACATTAAAAAACTATTTTGTGGCTCAAGAGGAAATGACCATCCTGAGTAATTTTTCAGGTTTTACTTAAATATTCAAGAATTTCTCTGTGAAACAAACAACTCTATCACAATTTTCAAATGCCTATATGCCTATTTTTCCTAAATCCACACAAAATATAAACATGTGTTTTTGTTTAATTCATAAGTCCTTGACAGATATTCCAGGCACTACTTAAACCCATGAGTCCTGTAGAATGTGTTAGCTTTCTAATGGACCAGACAAGCATGAGACAAGTAATGCAAGAAACGAGTATCAGATCTGAATTTGACTGGCAAATTCACAATCAATCATATATTCCAATTTTATAAGGAAAAAATAGCTTATGTGTTCATTAATAATCTTTCAACAAACCAATGGATTATCCAGAAACCTTGTAAAAACATCATGTCACTAGAGCCATGTAATCTTATTACTTCTTAATTATCTGTTACTAATGATTCAACATGGAGACAAAGCAGAATTCTGAGGTTGGAGTAACACTAGAACCACGGCCATGCCATAGCTCACGCAGTTAGTCACTGACTTCCCACTGCAGTGGCCCGGGTTCGATCCCGGGTGTGGTCAAGTGGGATTTGTGGTGGACAAAGTGGCGCTGGGGCAGGTTTTCTCCGAGTACTTCGGTTTCCCCTGCCAATCTTCATTCCACCA